TCCTGTTTGGGTTTCTTCTTTCAGGAAGGCCCAGTTAGGATATCCACTAGCTCAGGAGCCAGGCAGAAGGAGAAATCCTACACAAGACAGGCTCTAGAGCAATGTGGATATCCTAACTGGGCCTTCCTGAAAGAAGAAACCCAAACAGGACTCCAGTCAGCCATCAGGTGAAAAGGAGGAACCCAGACCCAGACCAGTGGTCATTCCGTATGTTGAGGGAGTATCAGAGAAACTGAGACGTTTATTTTCCAAACACAACGTCCCAGTGGCTTTTAAACCCCAAAATACATTAAAGACTGGTTCATCCCAAAGATCCAGTCCCCCGGCACAAACAGAGTAATGTTGTGTATGTTGTTCAGTGTCAGGAGGGTGATCAGTCTTACATCGGAGAAACTAAACAGCCACTGGCCAAAAGGATGGACCAGCACAGAAGAGCAACAACATCAGGCCAGGACTCTGAGGTCTACACTCATCTCCAGGCCAGAGGTCACTCTTTCAGGGATGAAGATGTTCACATCCTGGACAGAGAGGAACGATGGTTTGAGAGAGGAGTAAAGGAGGCCATCTTTGTGAAAAGAAACCGTCCATCATTAAACAGGGGTGGAGCCTCCAGGTTCAACTGTCCCCCTCTTACAATGCTGTGATTGCTAGTATCACTCAGCCCTCTGTGAACAGTAAACAGCCATCAGTGTGCTAATGATCCATTGTTAGGCTGATGGTCCTTCTTGAGCATGTGATCAGCTGGTTTTGGTTGTCAGCAGCAAACTGGTTGATCCACTCTGAGAAGGGGCTATTTATAAGACTGAGCTGAAAACAGCACCTCTGACTGAGGAAGTCTTTTGGATGAGAGATGAAACGTTTCTACATTTTTTTTTATTGTCCAGAGGACCTGACTTAACTTTTTTAGACTTAGCTGCATCATTGATGCAACAGAAAAATAAACACTTATGAACCAATTTATGACAAAGAAAAAAATTAGATGCCATATTTGCTTTTAGGATGCTGATGGAGAAGTGCAGAGAAGGTCAGAAAGAACTCCGTTGTGTCTTTGTGGATTTAGAAAAAGCATCTGACAGGGTGTTGAGGGAGGAGGTGTGATATTGCATGAGAATATCTGGAGTGGCAGAGAAGTATGTTAGACTAGTACAAGACATGTATGAGGACAGCAGGACATGTATGAGGACAGCAGGACATTGGTGAGATGTGCTGTAGGAGTGACAGATAGCTTCAAGGTGGAGGTGGGAGTGCATCAAGGATCGGTTCTGAGCCCCTTCTTGTTTGCGCTGGTGATGGACCGACTAACAGATGAGGTCAGTCAAGAATCCCCATGGACGATAATGTTTACAGATGATTTTGTGATCTGTTGTGAAAACAGGGAACAGGTCAGCTCTAGTAGGAGGTGGAACAGTGAGGCTACAAAGAGCAGAGGTCACAAAGGTGCATGACTTCAAAGACTTGGAGTCCACTGTCCAGGAACATGGGGAGTGAGGTAAAAAGGTGAAGAAGAGAGTCCAGGCAGGATGGAGTGATGGAGAAAAGTTTCATTCATTCCACCTTTATTTCTACAGTTTAATCCCATTGAGCCTCGGGGACTCATTTACAAGAGAGACCTGATTTCTTAAAAAAGAGTAATGACAACAGTGAACAACAACAACAACAATTATACAGTCATAATCAAGGCATACAATTTTTTTTATTTTCTTACAAATTAAAATAAGATGGCAAAAAAGTAGTGAAAAATAGCTAGATTCTAAGGCAAATGTAGAAAACTAAAAACAGGAACATGTCTGCACTGGTTCTTGCCAGGAGTCCAACAGATTCTTAAAGACACTTAGAGAGGTCAAGGTCCAGAGCTTCAGATCTTTTTTCAGGAGTGATTTGTGACAAAAGGGTGTCATCAAAGGTCAAAGGAAAAGTTTACATGGTGATGGTTTGGGCATGTCCAGAGGAAGGACAGTGGTTTGGACATGTCCAGAGGAGGGACAGTGGTTTGGACATATCCAGAGGAGGGACAGTGGTTTGGACATATCCAGAGGAGGGACAGGGGTTTGGACATATCCAGAGGAGGGACAGGGGTTTGGACATATCCAGAGGAGGGACAGGGGTTTGGACATATCCAGAGGAGAGATCATGGGTATATTGGTAGAAGGATGTTAGAAATGCAGCTGCAGGAAAAAGACAAAGAAGAGATACACACATGGATGCAGTTAGAGAGGACATGAAGGTAGTTGGAGTGAGGACAGAGTGAGATGGAGGAGGACTTGCTGTGGAGACCTATGAAGAGTGAAAAGCCAAAAGAAGAAGAACCAACTCAGGCAAGACTGAGGTTTTGGTTTTTGGACCTGAGCACCTTAGGAATGAATGTTTCAGTCTTTCTCCCTCCTTAGATGCATTAATCTGTCCTCCAGCTCTAATGTTAAAAATCTTGGTGTTATTTTTGATCAGGACATGTCTTTTATCCCCCACATTAAAAACGTTACTAGAACCTCCTTCTTCCACCTGCGTAATATCACTAACATTAGAAACATCTGATCTAAAAATGATGCAGAAAAACTGGTCCATGCATTTGTCACGCCTAGACTGGACTATTGC